CACCCACCCACCCTCACATACACACACACACACACACACACACACACATCTCACCTTTTTAGTTTAATTACAAATTTTCTAAGCTCGAATGAATAATTTGCATCATCTATTAATCTCTTCCCGGATGTTCTGCAGCAAAGGCAGGCGCGTATTGATTTTTTGCCGGAGAATTCAAATCTCGTCGTGCGTCATTTTGGCGGTCGGTTTATTTCGCCTACGAGTGCGTGGTGTGCGACGAGCCTTGGAAGGCTAAAAAAATCATTTGTGGTGAGAATTTCCCCAAAGAACTTATTCCACCAAATGAAAGAGTTTTTCACCTGTCAAGATTACTCATTTGGGCAGGGATAAAACATGGTCAGCTTTGTCAGTGGACATTAGTCAAAGGCACCATGAAGAGTGGAAAATTTGCATGAATAATTACGAAAATGTTTCCAAAATTTCATGAAAAAATTCGTATGGAAAAGTTATCGTTTTTCAAAGTAACGCTCTGTGTCATGTTTCACGAGAGGTTAGTAAATGTATTTAGTTAAGCAGTCTGGTTCAAGTATTACTTGCCTTTAGACTTCAGAAACAATGCGTGACTCTAAGGTCCAGTTCATGCAACTTCCCCCAAATAACCCGGATCTCAATGTGATTGAAAATCTGTTTTCTGTTTTGAAGAGAGAGCTCAATATGCTACCTGTACATTAGACATTGGAGGCAAAAGTGCGACGCTTGATGGAACACAATATAGAAAATGACTTCATAACAAAGTTGGTGGTTTCGATCCCGAAGAGACTCGAAAAAGTCCTAAAGAAGAAAGGCAAACCAGTCGACTACTGGTGTACACAAACTTTACATCTTACTCATTATCAATGTTAATTTGCTGTTAATTAAAACTGTTCCATTCTATTTAGTTACCTTTTAAATCATCATGGTCTAGGTCAACCACTGCTTACGAAATGGGAACATCTACTACATTCTGAACCATTCCATCTGCTGAGTATAAACGAATCAGGAAAAGCACGGCTATAAAGATTCACCAAGGCTTGCTTATTATTATTTAGAAAAAAATTACTTCAGTATAAATGTTGTTGCCTATATGATCCGACAAGTGTTTCACAGGGACCGGTTACTTCAATTTCGATTAGACCTGTATATATATATATATATATATACAAGAAAAGGGTTCAAGTGGATTAATGTATCTACCGGTTTTTCTGTGTAGTTTATTATGCTATGATTTACGTGGTACAGTTGGGAACCACCGAGAACGAACCGAGTTACTCGGTCTGATTGGCTTTTCCTCAGCAATGGTCCCCGGAGGATCGGTCGAAACAACTCGACTTGGGGATGGCCACAAACCATGGCATCAGAATCAAAACCATTGACTGGTAGAACAACAGGAGAAAAATCGCTTTCGTTTGGTCTCTTGGAACTTCTGACATTAACCTCTAAATGGTCTGGTGTGGGTGTCCCGGATCGTAACTTGTCACCCTCCATTTGCATCTCGCGAAATGCTCCCCCATACGATCAAGCAAGCATCTCAACTAACCTCTGCCTCCTCGTGGCCGAGATCTTTCCCCCACCAAATTGAGAGGACGAATAGCCGACATCCGGGGCTATAACCGGGTGGGCGAACCACTGGTAGTTCACCAAGTAGATATGGCTAAACACCCTGATTCCAAACCAAACAAGAAGAGGTGTAAGACCCTCACACCCACCTTCATTGTCGCATCAGTGGTCACTGGCTCCATTGGGTTAGGAGGCGTATTACGCATCTTGAACGATTAATCCTGTCCCCCTGCATTGATCTGGGTAGCCTGGCATTATTGCGCCCACATGCAAATCACAGGACTTTATTCTTTGTCATAAAGGTTATTGTGCGGTGATTTGTTTGGCATAGTGAAATCTCGGGTGTGTGTGAAATATTAAGATATATATATATATATACTTTTGATTTCTTCATACTCTTTTCGGTAATAAACAACAATCACCCTGTGCAATGACCGAGGAAGGCAGGTATGGTGTGTGAACACGTAGTAAAGAACTGGAAGCCACATGTTACAATCCGTGGCTGTATTCACATTCACATTCAAGGCCCAGTTTGTCCACTCTTTTCCGAAACACTCAAATCAAACATGTATATGAAAAAGAACTGGGCACAATGCTTCCTATTCAAGTCTGTTATTTTCCTATTTGAACGAGGATGTTTATTTCACTGGATTGTTCTCATCATATCTCGGGTTGGATTTTGTGAATAATTACTGGTTTTTATCCAATGGATCAATACTGCGGTGAATTTGCGTGCGTGCGTGCGTGCGTGATCGTTGTAATACAAATGGATTCACGCGTGTGTGTCTTTGTGTGTGTGTGTATGTGTGCAGATATGCTTATATCGCTGGGTATGAGTGAAAAGTAAGTGAATCATCGATTGGTGAGTGCTGCAATACACAACTCCCCTTCCCTTCCCTGCCGCCTGCCTGCCTGCCTGCCTGACTGTGTCAAACTCTGAGGCTACACCAAGATAACATGAAGCTTTGATTCTCAGCGGATAAATCATGGGACTTGTTTGGACCTTGTCTGATAAGTTGACGAAGTGGAACAAGAATAGTTACGGTATTTTCCTCGGCTTTGCATGCACTCAACCAAACGCATCTGAAAATAATCCAATATTTGTCTGGCTCTCAAACATTCGAATTCAATCAAATAACTTATCTTTGAGGTCAAACTCAATCACTACTATCCACCTATCCGAAGCAAATTATAGCAGAAAAACAAACGAACTGTTTCCACAGGTTTCGCGATTTCGAAATTCTACGTTTAATGACAAAAGAGAACACTCAATTGATCGTGGTATATATGCACATTCAGACAGGGTTGCTATGCAGCTACAAATCGTCTTGCTTCCTTGAAGGTGTATCTTATATCGTCATCATTAACATCAGCAACATCATCATGATCATTACCATCATCATCCGAATCATTATAACCATCATCATCAACACCATCACCTTCATCATTATCATCATTATCTTCGTCGTCGTCGTCGTCGTCATCATCATCATCATCATCTTCATCGTGGCACAGCATAATACAGTGAAATAAACTTCACTAATCCCCCCATATCATATTTCTTACACGTTAATTAAGAATATCTGAGGAGGACAGAGAATGAACTTAATTTTAGGGACGGTAAAAGAACGCGATGAATCCGGCGTTCAAATCTCGGACGGGACGATGTATATGCACTACTGGTGAGCTCTAATAAGGGCGAAACTCGAGTCCATTGCTTCCGAGTGTATGGTTGAATTGATGAACTGATTGTTGTGCGTGAAGGTGAAGTCCGAAAAGATAGTCAGTTCAAATCAGTCAATAACAATTATTTCACACCGCTACTCACAAGTAACTGTGAGTTAAGTGAGAAAAAAATAACTGATCATTTTAGGCTATGTAATCAATCGAAGCTGACTGACGTTTGTCGCTTTACTTTAGATCACACTGTCCTGGTTCCGCCGTTCAAGCTACCTTTTGGGCAACTGGATCAGACACCACGTCGACTGGATGGATGGACCTGAATGGACTGAATGGAACTGAGGGATTCGTTATACCTACAATCTGCTGAAGAGTGGTAGACTTATTTGTTACCCTTAGCACTGATACGTTAATGTACAAATATTGTTGGAAGCTAAAAGTTAAATGAATACATACAAATACATACATACAATACATACAAAATTATGGACAGAACATGATGACTCAATCAGTAGCAAACCGGCAAACTGTAAGCATAATTACTCGCCAGTTCGATCGAGAATTAATGAACTGCTGTTTGGAATGAACAGAAAACTGTCCAGTGGTGAGAATCATACAAAATGAATATCAAATTACAGACTAAGAGTGAAGTGAAACAGTTGTGTGAACCTCCGATCATGTTGCGAAGTCAGATGTATGATTACCGTGCAAATTTTTCCCTACTGCAACGAGTCCTGTAAGTGCGAATGGCGTCAAGTATCCCACACAACAGTAGCTGGAAAAAACGATTTAGGTAATAGACCTGCTCGACCAGGGGCACTGGTGTAGTTTCATTGCTCGGTGGGTGGACTGGCTGCATTTGCCAGTTCTTGATCGATCTATAGTTACATTTTGCACCTAGTCACGTGATCCTTTGAATTATTTTGGGGAACATTGCCTTATTCATTGGGCTGTCAGCTGATCGATATTCAAATGTGCGAACCTCAGCTGAGCCGATCCACGAGCAGTACTCTGTTTTGCATTATCATCAATGGTTAGAGACACTTCTACCCCTTCATCCAAATGGGTAACAGGCAACAGACTGCAACCAATACCGGCGCGCAAAACATTTCCATGATTAATCGTTGTACCAACTGAAAACCTGAAGCGCAAAATCTATTCTGCCTATGGATTTCCACTTCTGTCGATAAGTGGCTGTTACCTCTCGTTGGCTTTATGGGCTTTATGAGTGAGTAGGGAAAATCGGTTCAGAATAAAAGAAAAGAGAAGCTTATTGATTGCAACTTTAAAAGAATGAAAAAACTAATGAAAAGTTGTAAACTTTGATTAATTTGAGATACAATAAATGTATATTCGGGAAAGGATACATACATTCCATTTAAAGCTTCAATACAAGAACCAATTATTGGTGAACGCAGGATATCAATGAAGAAATTTGAATGCTTAATCAATTCGATTAACTCGATCATAAAGAACGACCACAACCAGCATAGACTACTGACTTAAACGTTTCCTGTTCAAATGGATTTACAAACATGAGGGTTCGTGAAAAATTGCCTTTCGGAACAGCAATGTGTTGACTCTTGCCTAACTCACGGCTATTTAGTTCCGTTTTCCGTTCATAATTCGTAGGTCCTTGGTCATGTCCCGAGTCACGTCGGACACGAAAAATAGCATGCACAAATGACGAGTCCTAATTCCTGCGATCAAGCTGTTCCGTGCTCATCGTGCGGCATCCACCAACACAGGCCCGGCGTATCAATACGTGATATTCTAATAGCGACTTAAATCAGGCCTGCGTAATAACTTAATCAAATAATTGCAAAACATGATATCAAAACTTGGTTCACTTGTTCAATAGTCGAATGCTCACTAAATTTCAAAAGATTGACTATCGCTGTCCGTCAAACTTCGACTCAAAAAATATGAGGATAATTAAAAATCTTGCGTTAAACTTTGCCGGAAGCGTAAACATCAAATAATTTGATCACTTTTTATCTCATCCGAATTTGCCACACAGAAATCTGCAAGACTAGTATAAGATATTGTGTTAAACACCAGATTTTCAACTCGTTTCAATTTGTTGGTTAATATTCTAACTGAATGATATAGTCAATTTCCTACAACACTTAAATCGCTATCACATTTTTTTTGGTAATCAGAACTTAAGTAAGCTACATCTCTATGCCCTCAAGTTGTAAGTCAGTTGCCAAACCTTCGGCAGCTGTAGTAAAGTTCCCTCTTACCGACAATGGTCCGTATTGTTTGAGGGGATGCCGTAACATGATTGCTGTATGTTATTTTGGTGATCCTAGCCTACGAGAAGACGCACACCACGGAGCGACACGTTACAGTTTTCGGACAACTGTGATCAATGAAGCTTCCCGGATGACGTCAGAAAAGCGCGTATGTGTCACAGCTTCTAGACTACAAACCATATGTCGATTTTAACAACCAATCAGAAACCGTGCGGCCCAAACAAAAGCTGAACAACACCAGGAATACTAGAACGCGATTGGCAGAGGTTTGGATGACCAATGAACTTGTTTTGTACATGTTATTTAAACCCCCTGAATTCTTTTAATGAACGGACTGTTCTTCGTGTGGCCTTTTCCTCGCGTCTCGTTTCCGTGGGATAATACGTGCAAGTGCTAGTGTGATCCAGTGCTTACGTGACATCCATGATTGCTAAACCATGATTTCCAATTCGTGATTCGTACTTCGTGATGAGTGTGTACTACTAATACTACAATTACTACAGGTAGTTTAGATAAACTAAGGGTTTTAGAAGAATTACTAGTCTGGCAACTCATTTCACACGAGTAAACACAAACGACAAACAGCGTGTCCGAAATCGAGAACAGTTGTTTTGCACAAACAGACAAGATGAAAGCACTTCAAAAACAGTTTATGAATGACACTCATGAGAACCGGAGTGAGGCAAACTAAACTCGCTGTTTTCGATCAGACATAAAAACCAGAATATAAGAATACTCTTGTTGAAACAAATAAAAGCTCATCTGTTTGCAACGCATACGCCTTTTTTCTCACAACATTTTTTCCATTGTTCAAATCTTATGTCCGAAAATCAATAAATTGTTCGAAGATCACGGTCTGTTTCAGTTATCCCTAAAGAGTATTGCGACTACGAGTTTATAATAACTCAAATCACAAAACAACTACCAATACATGAGAGTCGATGTGCAAGAAATTGAGTAATTCAATTCAATATCAAGGTCCATGTTTTCCTCTTCTCCTCTCTCCTCATGTTGCGAGTTGACCACGTAAAGCGCCAAACTATATCCCAATGTGCGATCTCCACACCGATGCACAGAACACCGTGCCTAGTGTGACTCAATCTCAACGTGAGAATTAAAAACAATTAGTTGGTCAAAATTTATAATGACAAAACAATTCTACGGCAGATAGATGATTGATTTGTTTGGAGCTATCCAACTTCGGTTCCTGGTTATCTGTTCCCTTTTTCTAAATTAAAACATGTTGATGATTTAATCAATTTCGGAATGCAATCAATCGATTGGCACAATTAATTTAGATAATTTTAATCTGACATTTAGAATTTTTATAAGAAAGCATCGCATATCATACTAGATAATAACCGTTTATCTAAGCTCAGTATCCCGAAATCACTGAAGTTCTATTTGATCCAAGCTCAGTTGAACCTATGCAAACTCACGTCCCAACTTTTCAGAATTCTTTGCCCAGTAGATTCAATCAGTTTCCCGCATTGGTTTTCTGTCTACCATCTTTTGAATCAAACAGATGACTTAGGGGCACCGAGTAAGATTCACAATTGAATAGTTCAATGGCAGTGTGAGGTTCTCGCAAATTACCCCCACCTCAAAATCTCAAAGATAGCAAACAGTATGAGATTGATCTCTTAGTAACCTTGTTTCTCTAAGATACCTTTCAGAATGATAGTAGTCCGTTTAACAGAGAAGTTGTTCGTTTGCAAATATACCGCATAGCATTAATGAAACTGCAACTTCATATGCTGTAGAATATTACCATTTTTCTTTCGGAGTTCCAGCCAACCAATCAGGAAGCAGCAAAATTGTTCATGCTCAAGGTCAAAGGAAACACCCAATAGCGCTAGAGCTTCCTACCATTACCTACTTTCACAGAGGCGGATGGATCGTAAAATGGTCTTATTCTAACTCCATTGATGGTTTTATCGCCTCTTTTTTATCTTCCTCCTCATAAGGTTTACCGAACTATCTGTTCGATGAGGCGGATCGATGCCATCACTAGGCTTAATCACGTGATCTAGATTGTGAACGTTTATCAGTACAAATTAAATGACTCTGATGATCACATGCATTGTGCTATTTAAGATTTACTGTTCGATCGCAAAACTCGTGGACAGCGATGATTACCGCTGTAACCAATATTATCACCTTCAAACAAAACAAAATCTTGTTTTGTTGTTAAAAGCCGCGGGAACAGCGTTTGAGCATGCATTAGGCTTATTTCAACGCACGTCAAAAGAGAATGAATGATCGCTCAAATGACTACTGAATAAAATAGGCTATTTAATTTGACATAAAATTCCAAACTCCAAATGTATAACCACTCACTTTTAGCTGAGCCAATTTGAATACATTCATTTCTCACGGAAACTTCCCATCGCAACATTGACAGAACAACACGAGTAGCAAACAAGCTAGTTTTCCATAACTTCTTCCTTTGACTAAAATTGTTATATACAAATTAAATGTACATACGTGCAACAAATAATATTTGAATGAATGTGCATTGATTGGACGTTATGGAGATGATTAAAATTGTTTGTATTGTGTATTGTACTGTGTACTGTG